CAATTTTTAGTGTAACGATTTTAGAAAAAAGTATCGTCTTATAGATGGAAAAATATGGTATTTTTCCATGTTTGTCACCCCGTCTACCTCCTTTACCTTATTCAGCCAGGAAGCAGCTCAGAAACTTGAAAGAGAGAATAGGAGAGAGAATAATATATCAAGGAGTCTTCTCCCCTGAGTGCTCTTTGTTCTGATTCCTACTTGTGAGGGAAAAGTTTGCAGAAAGAAACCAGAAGAGTATAGAAATGTTGTAGGGGAAATGTCCACTTTAAGTAAGGAACCAAAGTGTTTGGAGATAGATGCAACAAAGTATCTTTTATTGCACAACTATAGTCATCACTGGGCTTTTGGCCACAAAAATGCAAAAGAGCCCTGCAATAAGCAAGGATATGGATTGTATACCCCAGAACTGTTACCTAGGAGCAATGTAAATCATACTATGACCTTTACAGCCAGAATGTAACATCTGATAATACTGTGGGATGACCTTACTGTAGGATTAGGGTTAGGGTAACCCTAACCCAGTGTCTCTAAACCCATATTCCTACAAAGGCTCCATGTCCGTCCTCTTCTACTGATACTAGCACCTTCTAACATAATGTCCTTTATTGTACCCATGTAGTGTCTCCTTTTACACCAGGAAATGGCCAACAGTCTGGTTTCTGTTATCTGTCTCCTTCCCCTTCAAGGTCAACAGGCTGTTACCATTCATCTGCTCTGTCTAATATTCATTTAAGAACCAAAAGGAAAGAGGAAAGTATTATTTGTCCTCCACATTGGCAACACAGGAAGGGAATTATGTTCTCCAGTGACCCCTGTTCCATTCGTTCACTTCACTTAAAGTAGAAGATAATCTACTGAAGGTTGTTTTAAAGAGCTAGTCCTCTCTGTTCATTTAGAATAACATGACAAAAAAATGGACATGGCATCTGTTAACAATTAGTATAGAAAACACGTAATCAGTATTTATTTTTGTCGCTCAGTAGAATTTTTTTTCTGCATGGAAATATGTAAAAAAGAAATATGTGCTTGTCTCTAGTCATTTTAGCTGGTAGTTTATACTCAGGACATCTTTTTAATTTCAGAGGGAAAGAATAATGACAGAGAATACATTAACTGATTAATACTTTATTATTCACCATTTCACCAAATATATTGAATAGAATATTCCATTTGTGTCAAGTGCCAGACAATACAATGCTTAGATATGTCCTAAATTTGCCAGAATTCATAGTAACATTTCAGAATAGCTTCCACTGATGATATCTCTTATTATCTTTGTTCTGTATTTCTAGGCATCTCCAGAAAGATCAACAAGGGCACAACAAAAAGAATTTCAGACTTATATTTTGGATAGTGTTATGGACCACTTGCTTGCAGCTGATGTTTTATTGGGTAAACTTTGTTTACGTGTTTTTATCTCTAACGTACCTCCTTCAATTTCCTCAAAAAAACACATTTGGCAAATTGCTGGAAATACAAAAAGTTGTTTCTCTATATCTGTTAAAAGTTATGAATTACTCTGGTTGAGAATGATCCATTAAAACTAGAGCAGTTGTTCTAACAAGCTTAAGAGTTCTGGAAGGAACTACAGGCGTATAATTATTATATCTCTATGGGGAAATTGTTTTCTGGTGTTAATGTTAGCTTTATGGAATGTCCTTATGTGTTCTGTTCCATGGAAGATGGAATTGGGGTATTTTTGTAGGTATTCATTTTGAGATTGAAATTCTTCTACTGGTTACCTTGTGTAGGTGAGGATGCATCATTGCCTATCACAAGTGGAGGAAGCTACCAGGTGCTTGTAAACAATGTATTCTATTTCACACAGCGTGTGGTAGATAAACTTTGGCAAGGCATGTTCAACAAGGAATCGAAGTTGCTTATAGATTTCACGATCCAGTTAATTGCACAGGTATGCTCACATCATTTAGTGTCATTGTTTGTTTACATAAAAATTTCTAAGGCTATGTATATGGACAGAAAGATCATTCCATACCTGTTTTCCTTTAAATATTCCTTTCCACAAAAAACATTTAGTAAAGATTGAAAGATTTATACAGCCTGAAGAGAAACCATTATGTTTTCCTTTTAATGAATACCCATCTCATACTTCACTGAATCAGAATTATAATGGTCTAATTACTTTTTCACAACTTGGAGATGACATCCTATTAAAATCAGTTGTCTCCTCATAGCTTGGTTCAGTAGAATGGCTTCAGTGGTACTGGCACCAGCAGCGTCTTCAGCTAAAGTCAGATCTTGTATCTGGCAATCATATTAACAGCAATGGGGGCAGCTGCCTATCTTTCCTATTCCCCAACCTCTGAAGCTTCCAAACCAGTGGTGGATTTCTTCAAGTAGATGTGTTGAGGGAAAAAAAGTGTGTTCTGCACACCTATCAAAAGCTTCATCCTATTTTAACTTTTTTTTTCCTTTCAAAGGAAACAGTGAAAATTGGATTTTACCAAGGCTATTTGATGAATACCTTTAACAACAAGAGGCAGTGTTAGCAATTATTTAGGCTAATTTCCAAGATAATTGAACATTCTAATTTAGCAGAGGAGATTATTGCTGAAAATATGTTTAAAAACACAGAAGTATAAGCACATAGTATTGTTACAATATCTCTGTTGAAAGTATTTATTTGTCCGTTGTCTTTTTAAAGTCAAAAAGAAGATCTCAGGGATTATCCCTGGATGCCATTTATCACTGCCTGAACAGGACCATCTTGTACCAGTTCTCAAGGGCACATAAAACAGTTCCCCAGCAAGTTGCTCTTCTTGATTCTCTAAGGATGCTTACGGTGAACCGAAACCTGATCCTGGGGCCAGGGAATCATGACCAAGAGTTCATCAGCTGTCTGGCTCATTGCTTGATTAATCTTTACGCAGGAAGGTAAATGTCCCAGAGTGTATACTTTGCACATTTGTTATTTAATAACTTGCTTATTTTAAATAATCATCAAGATTATTAATGTTAAATGTATTTTATAATACATTTAACATTTATAATAGTGTATAAATGTGATTTATAAATCATAGTTCACATTTCTATTATATTGAAAGGCAAGGTAGAGTAACCGATTCCTTGTAGAAATGGAGTTTTAATTCTGGAACGGCAACTGGAAATTAGATATAAAAGGTAAAAAAACAATCATAAGCAGGTTTGGAGGGCTTTTTATATATAAAGGTATATCAGTTTGAATGCTGTGTCAGCTATCAGTTTTGCTTGCCCTCTTGGAAAGCTTCAAATGACCAGCTTCTACTCACATAATATTGAAATAATGCAAACATATTGAGTCTGTACAAGTGGTAGAACTTCTGAACATCGTTATGTGAAACAAGCACATTCATAATTATTTGTCATCTGCTTCATATGTAAACAGCTTAACTTCAAGAGAGGAATGTATTACCTTGAGACAAATAGCCCTTTCTTGATCTTCCTTTAGAAAAGCCAGTTTCCAAAAACAAGTCTTGATTGTCATTTGGAATTTATAACCTCCACAACTTTTACCAATTAAATCTGTCTGTGCAATACAGAATTCTGAGCATACGGAAGCAGTGCAGTTGCAAAGTGTGATGTCACATGATCACGCTGCTTAGCAATGGCAGTCCCCTGTTATCACCATTAAGCAAATCACTGTGGGTCATTAAGGGAGGACTTCATGTGACCGCGACTTCCAGTTTTCTACCAGCTTCCCCATTGACTTGCTTGTGGGAAGCCAGCAGGGAAGGTCGCAGATTGCAATTAAGTGACTGCGGGACACTGCGACAGTCAGTTTTTGAGCCCCCAGATTGCAATCACATGACCGCGGGGCACTGCAGCAGCCAGAACTTCAAGAACTGGTTGTAAGTACCACTTGTTCAGCACCTTCATAAGTTCAAACAGTCACTGAACAAGTGGTCGTTAACCAAGGACTACCTGTAGTTTATTTTTTATTAACTTTTATTAAAAAATTTTACATAACTGAAAAACAAATATATACAAGAAAAGAAAGAAAAAGAAAAAAAGAAAAGCTTATACATTTTTGCCATCAGATGTTCATTTGTACACAGATCATTTTCAAACCGAGGACCACCTATAGTTTAATGCTATCCCAATATCTGTATGGAAAAACACAGAATGGTCTCTTTTTAAGCTTGCCTGCATAATTCTAAGGTGTTATTTTTTTCCTCTTTCCAGCCTAGAAAACAGTTTATAATGAAATGTTAGTTAAAAGGTATGCCCTAACACATGTGGTCAATTGCTTCTTTACCTTTTTAATAAATACAGTATTTTTAACAGGGGCTAATTCCACAGCAAGTTCTTTGGAAGTAATATTACAGATAATTCAGGACTTTTTCTAACCATAAATAATAATCTGTCATTGTAATTTGAAAATAGCATTTCTTATGTTACAGTAACCAGCCCTTGCCCCCATGAAGCATTTGCTGGCTGTTGTCTTTTAATATCTTTAGGTGGTTCATTATTACGCCTTTTTCAGTATGAGCTTCTTGAGATATTCAGAAAATATGATAACTGTGCATATATTTATAGAACGCAGAAAACTCCCTATTTATATCTGGACCAGCTCTCCTTCCCCCCCACAGCTTTTCTAAAGCAAATATCCCTCCTTCTCGTCTAACCTTATTGGATGCTGTTTACAGCAGCGTAGAGGGTTTTGGTCTGGAAGCAGAAGCCCGAATGACCACATGGCATATCATGATACCTTCCGACATTGAGCCAGATGGAGTCTACAGTCAAGATGTTGGTGAAGGTAATAATGCACCATGAAGCAGTTAGGATGTTAGTCTGAAATATGAGTTAATGTTGCTTGTTGTACTTCTCCCGTTTTCCCATTCTTTCCCTAATCTTTTAGCTATGTGTTAGAGAGTCAGTGGGGAGTTATTTTCCAGTGGGCTGTGAAGAACATGTTAGAAATGCTAAGCAGATTTCAGTTCACTTGACTGAAATGTAGGCTATAATAGGCCTAACTGACAGCAAACAGTTTGATAGTGTAAGATGGGGAATTAAACTGATTATAGGCTATGTATCCACTTTAAATAGATCCTGTTAAGCTGCAGTCAAGAATGCATTAGAATTAGACTTAAATCTCTATCACTCAGTGAAATCTGTAGAAGCGGTAAACAAACAAACAAAAATCTTGGTTTAAATAAATAAATAAAATTTTAGCTGCTGCCAGACACATAGAAAAGTCAGTGCTGACAGAGAGCTGATCAGAGTGTTAATTCCATACTTAGGATTCTTGTACCAAAATAATGCCATCTCTTGGATTCCTGTGTGAAATGTGGCATTACCAATGGAGCGTTCCCATTACATTAGTGACTTGGTGTCTACCTAAGAAAAAGGCAGTCTGTCAAATATCCAGGTACTAAGATATTAAGGGCTTTATATGGTTCCAAAGCTGGAGCTGAAAAGGGATAATCCTTTCTATAGAAAACCATTCAGTTAAACATCATAAGGTTGTAGAAATTGCATGTTATCAATTTTTCTTTACGTTAGTATCTTGTTATATTAGTCTTGAGTTGGCATTGCAAGCATCTGGCATTAGAATTGGTTGCTTTTCAGATAAAAGTTATGATTCTGCAGATTATTCCGTGGATCATGTTGGCATTCAATCTCTGCAAATCATACAGTATTAATGCTAAAAATAATGCTTAGATAAGTGTCTTATTATGCTTACCTCTCAGCAATTTTCCAATTTTGTAGTCCTAGTAGCTGATCACAATTTTGTTACATTCACATTTCTAGGTCGCCAGCTTCTCCTTAAAGCTGTAAATCGTGTGTGGACCGAGTTGATCTACAGCAAGAAACAGGTTTTGGAGGAGGCTTTCAAAGTATCCCTTCCGGTCAATGATAGAGGCCATGTGGATATTGCAGTTGCAAAGCCCCTGATTGAAGAAGCCAGTTTAAAATGTTGGCAGAATCACTTAGGTAAGAGCAGGGGAAAAGATATAATGCTCAGATTTAGAATTTAGAAGATAGAATGCTCAGATTTTGAACTTAAAGCATTTTATACTCGAAATGCCTCCAGAACATTCAGATTCGCCCATTTGGAATTTGAAACAACTTCTTTGAACTTGAAATTGAGTGCTTTGAATTCAATTTTTTTGAAATTCAAAATGTTTCACACACCCCTCGTTTTAAGGGGTCCCTAGATTGCCTTTCTCCACACCTGCTGATCAACATTCTGGGAACATCAAGCTGGGAGGCTTTCAGGTTTCCCTCCAGCCTGTGTTAGAGCCATCCAGTTAACCAAGCCTGTGGGGGAAGATTCTCCTTTCTCCCATGGTACTTGTTAAGAAGGCTGCTCTTAGCTTTCTTTCATAGTGTGATCTCTGTAGAAGAAGGCGGAGAGGGGCTCTGAATCAGACCAAAACTTAACTTGGGTCTTATAAGCAAGTAGATCTCTGAAGTTTTATGGAAGCTTGGCAAAGTCCTAAAACTTTGTAGAACATTACAATCTGGATTATATTAGTTGGCAATATTATGCTATATGGGGAGCTGTAGAGTACAATCATTGCATTTTGATCAACTGTTTATCTTCTAGCTCATGAAAAGAAATGCATCAGTAGAGGAGAAGCTTTGATTCCAGTGACCCAATCAAAGCTATCTCGAGTCAGCAGCGGCTTTGGCCTCTCCAAGCTAACTGGATCAAGAAGAAATAGAAAAGAAAGTGGACTTAGTAAACATAATCTATCCACACAGGTACCTTACAGAATTAAAAGGCAAAGCAAGTTCAAAATTAAATTAAACTGTTGTCTCTCACTCATTTAGCAACTTGATCTGTGTTTTAGCATCACTTAATAAATTGTTCGTTTCCTTTACTGTATTCTGCTGATATCCCAGTCATCTCTGACCATTGTTCTTGGTGACTATGGCTGATGAGAACTGGAGTCTGATGACATCTGAGGAGCCATTCTCTTCATTCTTACCTTAGAATGGCAATGTAAATGTCATGGTCTGGGATCACAATTCCATTTAAGTATTTTCATTCTAGGTAGTCACATAAATCACTAATTTTACAGTCCAGAATCCACTGAAATAAAATAAATGAGTTGTTCTTCTACTAGGTAAATTGAATAGGAACAAGTAATCTTTATATGGCAGAAACTATCAATCTGTTTGCCAAAATTCTATTAAAAAGTAACAGTCCTTTGTTGTTGTTTTTTAATACTGTTCTTTATGTTTTCAAGAATGGACTCTCTTCTGTCTGCAGTAATATTTGTATTCTTACCATTAGGAGATTTCTCAGTGGATGTTTACTCACATTGCTGTGGTTAGAGACTTGGTAGACATGCAGTATAAAGAATATCAAGAGGTAAATGAAAATAATACTCCGGCCTAATGATTTGATCATATCCATTGTTCATTTCAATGACCCCAATATGCCTAAAATAATTGACATAGGTGTTTATCATATATTTCTGTATTTTCTCATTTTCCATATATCTGTAGAAATTGTGATAATCTGGAAACTACAATTTCAGTTTTACATTATTAAAAGTTGCAGAGTTTTTCAGAACTAGGTCTGCAAAAAGCAAAACATAAGAAGAGCTCTACTGAATTAAGCCCCATGCCCATCTACTCCAGCATTTTGTGTCACGCAGTGGCCAGCAGGATACATCTGGGGAACCTGGGCTGAACAGAGACATCCCTCTTCCATTGTCCTTCCTTGCAATCAGCATTTAAGGCTACCATTCAGGAGGTAGTAATTTGGGCTCCAAGATCACCGCAGATGGAGACT